GTAACTCTTGATCATCGGATTGGTACTCAAGATAGCATCATAGATCTAGGACTAGTACTACAAATGATACAGGAAACATGATAATTTATTCATCACGAATTAAAAATTTATAACAAATTTCGACTGCTAGAGATTCAATATCTTTTGTCACGCTTCGGTGTATCAACAGATTTCATCCATGGTGAAAGATTTACCGGTTGATGATCAAAATGATCGGTTTATGAATAAATCTAAACTTGATGATTTGCCAAATCAAATGACGGTTGACAGCAGCTTCACAAGTAGCATCTGAGGTATGGTTAAGTAAATAATCAACGTTGATTATATAGTATAAATGCAAGAATCGACAGCAGTAGCACGTTGCTTGAAACAGAGTCTATGTATTTCGATACTGACCAGATAGCCGCAGTTTCTTACTTTGATCTGATCTTTGAGGCCTCCTTTTTATAAAAAATTGTTATTATGAGCTTGATAGAACTCGAAGGGCGAAAAGGGCACTTTTTTCTTTCTTAGCATCTGAGAGCATCCCTCAGCGTCTGATGCTGAGCAGTTCAAGCTTCGGAAAGCTACTGGAAGCGCTTTTTCTCCCTTGTAGAACTCGAAAAATACACGAAAGGCCCCCATCCCACTTCACTTATTAAAATTTTGATTCGATACATAGACTTAAAAATCAGTTCTTATATATAGAAACAGGGAAGCTGGAAAACTCGGAAACGTTATCATAATGAAAATTTCTCTCTTTTCAGTTTTCTTACAGAAGGGAAATCTCCAATTTATTGAGTATGCATCTTGGCATTCTCCTTCCTTCACACTTCAAAGCCGCTCTTCATATAAAAGAGACCAGGGATCCGAACTCTTGACAATGCACATTTGTATAGATGTGACATAATTTCAATGTCTTGCGAACGAAGTGATTCTTGAAATCTCTGAGTACTTGGGTGCTTATGACATTCTCCACTTATTCCTTCGACTAAACGATCATTTTCATGGATTACTCGGCCGTCTACACTTTGATCTGAACTTTCTTGGCATCTGCAAATCCAGCTGTGACTTTATCTGCAAACACTTTCCATCAGCCGCACGAGTCCGTTCGTTGTATCTGTCTAAATAGACTTCCGGTTACTCTGACTTGTTCTTCAACCATTACTCCGAGAACACCTTAGTAAATCTTCGCTCCTTATTGTTACCCGACCTCAATCCAGAACAAGTGATCAAGGTCGTGGTGCCCCGATTGTCCAGTATGATACAACTATCGTCACTGACACTGCGCATGAAATTAAGCGACATCGTTGCCTCGACGGCACAGAAAGCCTTTGAACCAGCCACAGCCCTGCTTACAAACGAGTTGAGGGTAAACAACATTCTCACTCGACTTGATTTAGTAACAACGAAATATCCGATGGAGGAGCTGAAGCACTGGCAGAAGCACTAAAAATAAACAACCCTCTCACTCGACTTTATCTTACGAGGAACCTTTCTCAGGTGTACAACTCCGTCTTCGTATGCCGATCGATAGAGTATATCAAGGTAGTAAAAACCCCAAAATGGTTCGTCCCCATGGCCCTTCCTTAAAATTCTACAGTCGTTTTTCTCGATTTCCCAGCAAAAAAACAGTAAAACTGAAAAGGACGGGTCCGTATAAGCTAAAGAATCGGCCCACTTTTATTTTTTGCTGAAAATGGTCCTGTGACTAGCAGAAAATCAGGAACATTCGATTTTAGGTGCTGTCGAGTGGTTAAAGCCCTTTCATCCCGATAGGATCTTCACTTGGAAGCGGCCATTATTATGCTCTGCTTAAACCGGATTTTTTTCTACTTTACTGGTTGGAAACACTCAAGTATAGACAAACCATTGTATATATTTGAGTGTTTCTAACCCATTAAACTCGAAAAAATATTTGAAAAAATCATTTTCATGTGGAACAATTGAAAATACTTGAAGAATCTAAATTTTCGAAAAACGCTTCGGTTTCAAAAATCTCAAATGCTTTTCTTTTTCGCACATTTTGAAAGTATCTTTCTCAGATTCAGCATTAAAAACTGAGTATGAATCTGATGTTTGATCGAGATTGAAGTTAAAGGTCTATCTAGTATGAACGTCTGTGAACTCGCCCTGTAAAAGGTTCATAAACAATTCTGTAAACATAACGCGTTTTTTTTGTGAAGAGATGAGGTCGATTTTTTTACTTCATTAGAGTTATCATTGAACGAGCTTTAAAAGTATAGACTGTTTTTTTATTATTTTACTTTGCCACTAAGAAAATTCATTTTTTCTAGATCAGGAGCGTAAAACTCGGAATTCTGCGTGTAATTCTCAATTGTCTCCATCAGACCTCAACTTTTATCCAGTATAAATATTATATTCGGAGTGTCAAAAACTGAGTCGAATGATATACTTTTTTCTGTCCGGTCATATTAAATTTTTTGAATTTTACCTAGAAAAATTACTGAGGTTTTCATTAAAAAAATAAAAATCAATGAAAAACTTTGAAATATATATTGTCGATTCAGTTTTTGACACTGACTCCTCGCTAACAAAAAAGAAAAATATTTGAGATTTTTTGAAACCCAAGCGTTTTTCGAAAATTTGGATTCTTCAAGTATTTTCAATTGTTCCACATGAAAATGATTTTTTCAAATACTTTTTCGCGCATATTTTCTTCTCCAGCTCGATGCGCCCTATCCAACCATGTATAAAAAAATGCAAAAATAAAAACCTACTGAATTTTCGAATTTCCGACACTTTACTCGAGAAGACAAGCTGTAATTAGATGTTACGACTTCCACTTTTTGCTTGTTTTATTTTAATTTTTTAGTTCATCAATGACAATGGAAAGTTTTGAAAAATTAATTTCAAGGATAAATATAATATTTTGTTCTACTCACCTTGTTTTCATGATGAGAAAGGTGTTTTGTCTACTTTAAAATTTTTTTACCATAAAAAACGCAGAATTAGTTAAATCTTTCTTCTATAATAACAGTGATAGTCTTGTAAAAACGATTCATTTGAGATCATATTAATTTTGCAATTATGTAATTAAGATGTGTTTGAACTCTTTTTGTTGTAATCGATTAGTTTTCTCTGTCTATAGAGTACTTCGGGGTAATTAGAGACACTCTTTGAAATTTTCATCCTTTTTCTGCTATTTCTCGGCCGTTTTTGGTCGGAAAAACTTGCTATTGAATACGGTGGTAGACCGAACATTTTTCTACACACTCATATAAACATTTTTTGAAAGTCTCCGGCCAGTTTTGAGCCAGATCCAAAATGCGAAGAGCTCCATCAAAGTGTCTCTAATTACCTCGTACGGGGTAATTAGAGACACTTCACTTGTACGCTTGGGGTAAATAGAGACACTTCATTCAAATACATGGAGTTTTAATGTACAATTGCTGGTGAATCAAGCTTAGGAGATAATTAGTTCAAAAATACCTCATTTTATAGCCCGGATCTTCCTCTCTCTACCATATAGTTTTGAACTCATTAGCATATAATCAGCAGCACTAGAAATTTTCTGTTTTCCTTTTTTATGCTTTGGGGTAAATAGAGACACTCCACTGAAATACACGAAATTATCAGAGACAAACCTCTACCATCTCTTAGAAGTCGATTTTAGTATTATACCAAATGACAAAGTTCTTCAGAATGCTGCACTCTATCATATATGTGAAAACCGGAAGAAAATAAAATATTTTCAGCAGTTTCTGTGCACATAATGAACATTGACGATTTTAAACACATTTTTTCGTTAAAATTATCAAAATAATTAATCATTATTAACAGGCAAATTCCAATCACGTTGAACGTTTCATATACCTTATGCAATTCTAATTATATTACATCAAAATTTTTTTATAGAACATACGGTTTAAGGCCAACATCTCCACTTTGCATTAGGCACGCACTGGTTATTTCATAGAGGGTCTCCGAGGCCAGCGGTTTTAAAAATCGGAGCAACTTTTTAAAATTTTTTCGAATCGGCAGTTTTGTGCACAAATGTTTGTTCTACATAATAAAATGCTGTACACTTTCTTACGATGGTTTGTCGATGAATATGAATTTTTTTCTCTAAAACAGAACTGGCTACAACCGACCGGTTAATAGAGGGTCTGTCTACACTGTTGGTAAAAAACGAAGCACTCGCTAATTATTTACATGCTTTCTCCCAAACAAAGTATTTGTACTCAACAAGATACTTGAATTCGTGTACAATATAATATTCTCTTTCATAATCAACAAAGATACATGATTTCTATCTGACACGTTTCATTAGTTGTTTACAATAGGATAAGAAATAATAATAAACAATATTCACTTTCGAAACGAAAAAATGAGAGTATTTCAACACACAGACAAACAAAATAATATCTGTAATAAAATCAGTAGGTAAAGCAGTTTTGAATAATAAAGTACAGAACGGCCACAAAGAATATTGTTAAAAGATTTTAACGAATCTTTATTTGCTTATGCGAGCTTTCGACCCTTCACTAGAATCATTATCAAGCAAATAACTAGAAAAAACAAAATTGTTGGTACTTCTTGCACAATTTTGTTTTTTCTAGTTATTTGCTTGATAATGATTCTAGTGAAGGGTCGAAAGCTCGCATAAGCAAATAAAGATTCGTTAAAATCTTTTAACAATATTCTTTGTAGCTGTTCTATTCTTTCTATACTATTCATAAAACAATATCTGTTTTTGACTATCAGTTTTTTCAAACATTTCTGACTAAACTAACAACAATCGTAGAAGAAGCAAAAATGAAAAAAATGTAATAACAAAACAAAAAATATGACACTTTCGTACTCTTCAGATAGTGATAAATACTTTTCAAATATTTTCACCTACGTAATTAAAGCTATGAGCCGATAAAAAAAATTATTTTCAATTTTCCACAGTAAAAAAGTCACAGGCGCAAATCTGAGCTTAGCTTAAAAAACACAGAACCTAAACATACGAAAAATAAAAAAAGTCTAGTTTATTCTCTGTAATAAAATCGATCTCATGGTGCATATTTTGGACCCATTCCAATTCCATTCGGGTTACATGCACAATGTGGACATTCTTTATCCATTTTTCTATCCATCGATATCTGTCGTAAACAATATGAACATAAAAAATAGGGCATACCACAATGTTCAATTTGATGGCAAACATATTGTGATTCGGTTGAAAATGGACTGGCTATTGCATCTGATACATGACGTTCAATAAATAAATCGACTAATTTTTGTAATTCTTGGGTATCATTACTATCACAATGTTTTAAACCTTTTTCACATACCATTTTAGCCCTAGGAAAATCACGTCTACCCATATATGCTTTTGCTTGTCGATAATAACCTTTAGCAAATGTTGGATTTAATTTTGTACATTTGATCGATGAATCTAATGCTTTTTGATATTGTTTCAAACTTAAATAACATGCTGCCATATTACTATAGATACGATAATCATTTTCGTTTAATTCAACCGATTTAATGTAATGTTCAAGTGCTTCAAAATATTTACCATTTCGAAAACATTCATTACCTAAAATATAAAACTTTTTTTATGTCTATAAATGAGCAGGTAATGATGATATAACTATTTATCAAATAAGTAAAACATATGAAGCGAACACGTCGCATTGAATTACATCGAATTTCAGATCAGTTTACCTAAGCTTTTTTCATTAGAATTAACGTTTTAGCTTCAGATGTGGTCATCCGCAGGCTTTCCGGTTGTACGATAGGAGCGGCTAAAACATTTTGCTTTGTAGAAAGTGGCTGGTGAAAAAAAGTTTTCGAAATTTTTGGCAGAAAGTTGCTAGTGGAAGATTTTATCTGAAAGTCCAAAAATTTTTTAGGAGGGGCCAGCATCTCTCTGATCGGAAATCCATACCGTCACTAGCCATCAACTGCAGCTTTGGCCAGATGTTTAGTCTGCCGTAGAGTTGTTGTCGTCTAACTGATTATTTATTTACGATGATAAATGAGTCTATGCGTACTTCTTAAATAACTTTTTTGCCTTACAGAGTCTAGATGCCGATTGCAGATTTTAGCTGTTTTTGATCTATTTTAAAGTCAACGTTACTATCCTATGACCTAGTATAGGTTAACGTTACGTGACGAGAAAGTATACAAAAACTTCCTCTAGTACAGTACTATTTGATCCTTGTACAATTTATTTTTAAAAAATCGAAATCTTTTTGAAACGATATGTTGAAAGCTTGTTAGAATATTTTTTACCTAATTTTGTTCCCTTACATTGTACAACAAGAAACTTTATACGATTTTGTAGAGAATTGAATGAAAAACCTTTTAAAACAAAATTAAATCTAGGCTCAGAAAGATAAAAAAGTTATTCAAGAAATATAACGAAGCTCATTTATTCTCGAATCGAGAATCTTGATCATTCGTTAAATATAATTTACCTAATTCTCTTAATTTATCGGCATGTTTAATTAAATGCGAATGTTCATTATTTTGTTCTTCTAATGCATTTTCAATTAATTTTATCAATTTTTTATTATTTTCTATTCCATGTTCTGGATCTAAACTAACATATTTTCCTTGTTTTGCTCTTGTCAATGCCGTATATCCGTGAATATCACAACAATCAGCTTTAGCACCATTCATTAATAATTTTTCAACAATATTAAAATGATTATAAATAGCTGCAATAATTAGCGGTGTTTCTTCTAATGGTTTGATGAATTTTAATTTATTTCTAAGATTTAAATTGGCATGCCATTTAATTAGTACATCAACTAATTTTTCTTGCTTTTGAAGACAAGCCAGATGTAATGCTGTAAAACCATCTTGATCATAAGCATTTATATCAATGATCGGTTTTTGGCGACAATAGGGACACGGTTGATCGATATTTGACCATTTACCAATGCAAACAGAATGAAATGAATGATGACAAAGAAGTGTACGTATTTTATCATCACATTGAAAGTCTTCTAAACATATTGAACATTTATCGGATGTTAAACGATTTTTATCATCGTCACTAGTTAATACATGAACAGGTGGTAATAAATTCTTATTCGACGAATAATAAATATTTTCGAATAATCGATCAACTTCATCGCAATCATGATTCTGGACTAATCTAAGAAATTTTTTTGTCTGTTTTGAATGTTTTGCCATAATCTAAAATGATCATATTTCTGCCTATATTAAATCTGTCGTAATAGCTACCAAAAATCAACAAGACGAAATCCTCTGGCATGCAACTCATTTTGATCAATATCAGATTGGATTCACTATTAAACAACAAAAAACTGACATTGATCTCTAGAGGCTAGACCGATATTGGTCTGAATTAGAAATCAAATGTACACCCTTGTATATATACATCACGTCATTTATCTTAGACGTAAGAACTAACTACTCTATGACTTTACTCTACAGTTATAAAAACAACTGAAATGTTTTTAGCTATAATAATAAGTCAGGTGAACAGTCAGTAAATCAGTGGAAAAAGTCAACTGATTTTGTTCGTTTATTTATTTATATACGTTATATGATACGTCATATGTATGCGAGTAAACTATCAATAGTGAAATAAATTAACAAATAAGAATGTGGTCGCTAGTGGACGAAACTCATCTGTGATTTTTTCAAAAATTAGACTCTTCTGTACTTGCTTTTGTGTCATCCAAAGAGAAGGACCAAAATATCAGCATCATCGTCTAAAAATGTCAAGATAAAATTTTCCACATTTATTAGTTTACAAAACAGATTTACAATAATATTAAATCGCTCGCATTCGTACAATACATTTGAATAAATTTATGTTGCTTGTACATATCACCGGATCGAAAAATTTTAAAAGCTTGTTCGGTCAAAACCGATTGCAGATTCGTCTTCTCCATGGTTGATTATGTGGTACGCGATAACTTCTGGATCGGGGTACTTTAGAAAAAATTTT